GCTCAGCAGGTCTGGCAGCATCTGTGGAGAGAAATCAGAATTTAACATTCTGGGTTGATTGATCCTTCGTCAGAAGTGATGGCAGTTAGGAAAATGTTGGTTTATGTGGAGAAGATAGGGTGGGGAAGGGGGTAAGGAATAAATGATATGTGAGGATAGAGCCCAAAGAGAGAGAAGAACAGTTGGACAGACAAAGGAGTGGATTACGATTCTACTAGGTGGATGAATAGCTTTAAAGGGGACTGTTAGCGGCTAACAATAGCAGACTATGTGATAACAAGAAACAACCCAAAACGTTAACTCTGATTTCTCTTCACAGCTGCCAGACCTGCTGAGCTTTTCCAGTAATTTCTGTTTTTATTCCTGATTTACAGCGTCCACAGTTCTTTCAGTTTTTATTGTGTGATAACAAGGCCTGGTTGTGGGGGTTGGGATAAGGATATGGGAGAGCTCAAGCCTTAAAGCTATTGAATTCGATAGCGAGTCCGGAAGACTGCAGGGTCCCTAGGTGGAAAATGAGGTGTTGTTCTTCCAGCTTTGCTGGAATTTTCACTTGTGTTTTGTATATGTTACTTGCCATTAATCAGTCCAAAACTGGAAGTTGACTGAGGAGTTACAGATAGTGCTGAACATTGTGTAATCATCAGTAAATATCTTCACCTCTGATCTTTTAGTGATAGGTCCTAGATGAAGGTGTGAAGCACCCTGCTCTATGAAACTTCTACAGAGATGTCCTGGGGCTGAGATAATTGATGTCCAAAAACCACAACCGTTTTCCTTTGTGCCAGGTATGACTCCGTCCAGTGGTAATATTTCCCTTGGATTCCAGCTTTGTGAGGTCCCCTTGATGGCATGTTTGGTTAAATGGTGTCTTGACATCAAGGCCAGTCACTCTCAACTCATCCCTGGATTTCAGCTGAATTGTACGTGGTTAGACCAAGGCTGCAATGGATTCAGGAGCCAAGTGGCCCTGGATTAGTCCAAGCTGAGTGTCAAAGTTATCCCTTTGCAAGTGTCACCTAATAGTACTGTAGATGATCTCTTCCATCATGTTGCTATTGATTTTTGAGAATTTGCTAGGTGGATTTGTGCAGAGGGCAAGTTTCCATATTGCTGAGTGGACAGTATTGTAACTATTCCAGTACAGCTCCGCTAAGGCCATGGTTATTCCTGGAGTGCAAGCCTTCAGTACTATTGCTGGAATTTTGTTGGGAGCTATAGCCTTTGAAGTGTCTAGTCTCTTCAGCTGTTTCTTGATATCACCTGGAGCATATAAAATTGTTGTGTCTGTGATGCTTGTTACCTCAGGAGCCGGCCGAGATGAGTTATCCATTCGCCACTTCCGACTGAAGATACTGTTGTAGATAATGTGGCAGTCAACTTGACACAGCAAGCTGCTGTAGTCAGGAAACTAAGTAGAGCCATGTGATCTTTTACATACACCTGAACGGAAAGGTAGAGCCACTGTTTTGAAAGAACACAAGAACCAGGAGTAGGAGTAGGCCATTCAGCCCCTCGAGCCTGTTCTGCCATTGAATACAATCATGACTGATCTCGTCTTGGCCTCAACTCCGCTTTCATGCCCACTCTCCATTACTAACACATTACTAATTATTATGTTTATCTCTTCAAATTTATTCAGTGTTCAACCCTTCACTGCACTCTGGGGGTTAGTGATTTCCACAGATTCACAATCCTTTGTGGGAAGTTGTTATTTAATTCATTCACATGATGTGGGTACTGTAGGCTCGGCCAGCATTTATTATCCATCCCTAAATGCCCAGAGTCAATCACATTGCTGTGGGTCACATATAGGCCAGACCTGGTACGGACAGCATTTTGCCTCCCTAAGAGCATAGTTTTTTTTTACCCCCGAAAACCTTAATTCCAGTTTTTTTTATTATTGAATTCAATATTCCACCATCTGCCATGGCAGGATTTGAACCAGGTCCCCAGAATATTACCTGGGTTTCTGGATTAACAGTCCAGTGATAATACTACTAGGCCATCGCCTCCACAGAGTAATTCTTCCTCATCTCTGTCTTAAATTTGCCACTCCTTGGCCCAAAGCTATGACTTGTCATTCTAGATTGCCCCACAAGGGAAAACTTCCTCTCTACCTCTACTTTGTCAATCCCTTTTGGCATCCTGTATACCTCAATTAGATCTCTTCTGATTCTTCTAAACTCTCTAGTGAGTACAGGCCTAAATTGCTCAATCTCCCCTCAGCAAACAAGCCTTTCATCTCTGGAATTAATCTAGTGAAAGAGAGAACCTCTGACCATGCTGCACTCCCTCAATACAGCCTGTTGGTCTAGATTTTCTATTCAAATCACAGGACTGGAACTTGAACCAACATTCTCTTTTGATTCTGAGTCAAGTGCATTATTGTAACGCAGCACATACGGAAGGAATATCAGAAGCGTTATTGTAACGCAGCACATACGGAAGGAATATCAGAAGAATTATTGTAAGGGAGGGTGGCTAAGTAAGTGGAAGGTGCACATGATGGTGTGGGCAGCTATCGTCATTGTTGCTGCTTTGCCTTCAGATTATTTTAAACCATCACAAGACGTATGCAGCAACTCATCTGCTTTGTGATGTTTCCTCCACAGGCAGTGCTGTACTATAAATAAAGTCTTAAAGTTGGCAATGTAACTGGAACCTCAGCAACCTGTGGTACTGAGCTTTTTACTGGCTGTCTTCAGCCGAACATGAGAATGTGCTGAGACACTGAGGGCCTTGAATCCAAAAGTACATTTTGTGTTGTATATAGACAGTCCAATTCATTTGGTGAAGAAAACTGATTGATATCAATAACACCTTTTGGATTAGATAGCGATTTAACATTTCAGAAATTTGCTATGATGCTCCATGGGAGACCTACCAAATAAAACTTGACACTGAGGCGAGGTAGGAGATATAAAGACAGGTGACCAAACACTTGGCCAAAGAGCCTCTTAAAGGAGGGGAGAGATGTGATCTCCGAGTTGAAGAATGGATTGTGGAAAACAGGGCTGTCACTGATGGAATAATTCACGTGTGGTATTTATTGCATTCAATCGAGTATTAACCCTTTCAGATCCTTTCAGACAGGCCAGAGGGTCCATGCACACTGATGTGTGTGTGCAAATGCATTCACATCCCATTTCAGAAGGTACTGCCACACATGGACTTCAGAGTTCCTTGCAATGGCAGGAAAAATGAGAGGGACTGTAGACTGGGTACACAACAGAATATGCTGGGGCCATTTCAGAGAGCAATGAATGACATTGCTGGGAGTCTGGAGTCACATGTACGACGCAAATGGAGCTTGTAAGATCTCTGTCACTATTTGTTCTCTCTCTCTTTTGACATGTGTCTTCCATCAGGTCCAGAGGCTTTTGGCAACCTCTTCCTCCTCTAGATTTTGTAACTACAAAAGTAATAAATCACTTTCTGCTTTTTAAATAGAGTAGTATTTAAGGGATAAAGATTCCAGCGATAGAGATTCTTCTGGAATGATGGCACAGAGGGAGCAGGAATGGAACCAGTGAAACAGAATATTGGGTGCTGGGTACAGCGGGTAGCTGATCGACACCCACTTTCCTCCTCTCTGTGCACACCCCTTCCCCCCCCCCCCTCCCCCCAGACTAATTTCTGTTCCTTTTATCCAAAAAGAAATTGAATTTCTGCGCAGAATATTCATCTGAATGCAAACACTTTTATCAAGAACAAAATCAGTATGTGGTGTTAATTTTTCTTGTGAATGAATCTGGTTATTATGTCAGTATTGCAGATTTAAACACTGCTCCATCCACGTGATGTTCTTGTTCTACGCTAGATTCTGGCATGTGTCTGTTAAGTGCGTTCTTTTCTCTTTTGTCGGTTCTTAACAACTCTGCAATATACTGTCAAAACTAAGTGGAGAGGGGAACATGTGCTTGAAAAGAAGAGTTGTTCTCGAGAGAGAATGCATATTTGGCATAAGCAACAGGTCATTTCCGTCCGAGTTCTAAACTGCTTAGATGTTGCGTTAATTTTTCCATAGCTCGATTCAGCTAAGGAGCAAATTTTCAGCCTGGGCGGAGTTTGGTTGCTGCCTCTCGTTATAGGCATGATCACACGACCTCTACTTTCTTCTTCCTTTTTGGCATGGCCACAAATTGCTATCCATTCCTAATTTTCCTTGAAATTATTGCATGTGCTGCGATCCATGTCTTCTCAGTCTGTAGGTTCTTTAGGAGCCTATATGGTCTATATGTAGTTTATTGTATCCCTGTAACTACCTTCCAAGAAACTAGGATCACTCAAAACATCTTGTAGTCAAAGTGTGGTTTATTTTATATTTGTGGGCCAGTGTTCATTTTAAACAACAAATTACCCTGGAGATGGTAGTGATGAGCTGCTGCCTTGAACCATTGGGATGTAGGAGCACCCACAACGTTGCTCGGAAGGGATTACTGGGTTTTGATCCAGCAACAGTGAAAGAATGACAAGTATGTTTCTAGGTCAGGATGGTGAGTGGTTTGGAAGGGAATTTGCAATTGTTGTTCACATGAACCTGCTGCCCTTGTTCTTCTGGGTGAGAAAGAGGTCTGGGGTTTGGAAAGTGCTGTCTAAGGAGCCTAGGTGTGTTACTGCATCTTGTCCATGAACAGTGCAGCAGCATGTACCGTTGGTGGTGTGGGGATTGAATTTTGAAGGTGGTGGATGTGGGGGACCAGTGACACTTAACTTCTGGCAGTCTGACCAGAATGCATCTCGGCAATCTGTCTCCTACATCCACAGGGATGTCCATAAGGGAGAAAGGGGTAGAAGGGGACATTGCTGGAGTGAGAGGTCATAGGTTCCTATAAACATTTAAGGCTGTTGTATCCAATGGGGAAAGAGCTGAATGCCTTGTTTTGTGGTTGATAATACTGTCTAACCACCCTAATGGCAACCTAGTTTTCATTAAGCGATTGGCAATCTAACACTCTTTTTCTCTCTCTCTCTCTCTCCCTTCTCTGCTCCATCAGGTGCAATACAAAGAAGATTTTGAAAAGAACAAAGGGAAAGGATTCAGCGCTGTGGCTAACACTCCTGAACTTGAGCGGATCAAGAAGAATCAAGAACTGGTCAGCAACGTAGGTATCCTCCAGGAACCTTGATATATGGGTTGTTTGAAAGTGTTTGTTCGAAAGAGATTTGTATATCCTTGACATAACTATCTCAAGTATTCAGTGCAGAAACAGTCCAGTCATTTCGACCAATCCGTACTGAAGTTTATGCACCACTCATGGGAACAGGAATAGGCCATTCAGACCCTCAAGCCTGCTGCACCATTCAATTATATCATAGTTGATGTATGGCCTAACTCCATATACCTGCCTTTGGCCCAGATCTCTTTAATTAATTTTTTGTTTAAAAGAAAATACATTTTGAGTCAGAGTAATACAGCACAGAAACGGACACTTTGGTCCAAAGTGTCCATGCCAAACATAATCCCAAATTAAACTAGTCCCACCTGTCTGCTCCTGGCCCATGTCCCTCCAAACCTTTCCTATTCATGTGCTTATGCAAATGTCTTTTAAATGTTTTAATTGTACTCATGTCCACCACTTCCTCAGGAAGTTCATTCCACATGAGAACCACCCTCTGTGTTTTTTAAAAAAAAAAAAAATTGCCCCTTTTATAAATCTCTTTCTCCTCTCACCTTAAAAATGTGTCCCGTAGCCTTGAAATCCCCATCGTAGGAAAAAGACAACCATCATTAACTCTATCTGTATCTTAGATTACAAATTACCAACTGATCATGCATCCGCTGTCATTTGTGGAAGACAGCTCCAAACATCTCCCACCCTTTGTGTGTAGAAGCACTTCCTTACATCGCTCTTAAATGGTCTGGCCCTATTTCTCAGACTGTGTGCCCCCTAGTTCTAGAATCCCCAACCAGTGGAAATAGTTTATCTTTATCCTGTTTTTTTTTCTGTTAATACCTTGAAGACTTCAATAAAGTCACGCCTTAACTTTCTAAATTCTAGAGAAAGCAGGCCTAATTTGTATAATCTCTCCTCATAACCTAACCCCTGAAGCCCAAATATCATTCTTGTAAACCTACATTGTACTCCCTCCAAGACCAAAATATCCTTCCCAAGGTGTGAAGCCCAGATCTGTTGATAGTACTCTAAGTGGAGTCTAACCAGGGTTTTGTTTAACTGCAGCACAACTTCTGCATCTTTGTACTCCAGTCCTTTAGATACAAAGGCCGGCATTCCATTAGTTTTCTTGATTATTTCCCACAAATCTTTGTGACAATTTAAACATCAGCACATCCAAACCCCCAAGTCTCTTTGGACATCCATTGTATTTAACTTCAAATCATCTAGAAAGTACCCTGATGCATCCTTCTTGCGTATTTTTGTGTGATTATCACTTGAGCATCTTCCTGTCTTTCCTCGCATAACTTCATCAGTATAACTCTCCTTTTCCTTCTGTCTTGAGCTTGCCTGTCATCTCCTCGTACACATCATCAATATTCGCTTCCAAAACCATGACTCTCACTATCACCAGGGAATGATGTTTCTTCAGAATGATCTATTTGATTTCTAGGTGACTGCTAGCTATGTTCTTCCTCTCAAGAAATATTCTCTCTGTGCCCTGTCTATCAAAACTCTTCTTAATGCTAAAGACGTGTATTAGGTTCCCCTTCAGCTTCTTTGTTTGGAAGAGACCCATATGGGTATAAACTCAGTTTAGTTTTGCATTTGACTTTGTGTCTCTAATTCTTTGTTATAACCTGGTGACATGAAGCTAAAACAAAGTCTCAACTCCTATGGCAGAGATCAAGACTGAGGCACTGTTGGGAATGTGATGTATGGGTAGCGCACATAAAGCATTGTGATCATGATAATTGGAACCTTGTTCTATGTGATTCCAACAGCAGAATTTCCACTGCCTTCCACTGGCCCCACGGTGACTTCTCAAAATTCTGTTGTTTTATCAAGGGCCCTGCTTGAAGGCCTTGGGTCTTGTAGGTGCAGGCTGAAGAAGACTGGATTTTGTGTTTTTAAAAAAAAACCAGTGCAATTGACTGAAGTTAATGTTGAAGTAATCTTCCGGGCTTGTATACTTTAGCTTATTTTATTTCGTACATTTCGGAAGGAGGTCAGGGTCTATGTATCTGTGGGAAAAGTTCTCAAACCTTTGAACCCCTAACCTTTGCCTCCACACACCCATAACCCTGCAACTTTTTTTTTCTACTTCGTGCATAAATCGATTTCACTTTTGAAAGCAGTTATTGACTCTGCTTCTGACCTTCTCAGGCGCTGTGTTCCAGATCACGGCCAACCCTGTTAATGGAAACAAAATTCTTATCTTCACTCTTTGAAAGACCCAGCTCTGAAATGTTTTTACTTACAGACTTGCCGTTTTTCTTGGCATGTGCAGAAATGTTGTTTCCACCCATGCAATTTGAAATGGATGAGCTCTGATGAAGACCTGCTTTGCAATTTTCCGGTCACCCAGTGGGATATTGCTCACCTAATGCTTGTCATTCTGATGCACCCAGGCCTGAGGTTAGAATGTCTGACAAAACTAGGTGAAAGGCCAAGCCCCCCAGCCCCACACTAGAGACGAATGCCAAGGCTGAAATGAGAAAGAGCGGAGCAAATCCAGAAGCAGCAATTAGATTTGGAGAAAATCTGTGATAGGGAGGGAGTGACTGAGGTATGCAAAAAATTCAGTAGTTCTGCAGTCTTGGAATAGAATGACTTAGTGAGGTTGCAAAGAGGATGTATGTATGTTTGTGTTTCTGTATGTAGGGAAAATTCAGAGAAGAAATGATAATTGATTTGAATGGAAAGAAATGAGAATGAGGGGGTGGGGAGGGAAAGTTGCCCATATCCCAATAAACATGCAAAATCCATTTGCAGAAAATCCAATCTTTCTGCAGGTAGGAGGAGCGATTTGGAGGCCATTGTTATCTTGTGCTTTTATTAATGGTTTAGCTGGGGCACAATGCTTGGAGTTTGGCTTAGCTCCAGGATAATACTGTTTCTCAGTTAAGGATGTGCCCCTGCCTGCAATCTGACAGTCATTTTAACAAATAATAGTTACTAAACATTTTCTGGCAATGGAAATTGTTAAAGGAGGGTGTGTTGCTGCATCTCTTCCAATAATTCCAAGTGTGCAAAAGCGCTGCAAGACAATGCATCCACTTTATGCCTGTGATTATGCAGTCATGTTGAGGTTTGTTTCATTATAGAAAATGTAGAGACAGTCACAGCAGAGCACTCCACAGTACCTGCCTGCTGCTAGGAGTAGATCAGCACAGGCAGAGCCACAGACAAAGATCTAAACTGTACCTTCCTGTCTTTTCGAAAATTTGGAGAGCAGAAAGACTCCACGGTGTATTGATCAATGGTCTAATTAATTGTTACTCTGTTCTCCGATTTATGTTCGTGGTGCTTGATTCCATAAGTGTAGTGAAACCTCTGAGGGTTCAAGCAAATGGAAGCTTGCAGGGAGCCAGAGTTCTGGACATCTGTGGACACATTTTGTAATTGAAGAGTAATTTTAACACACTGTACATAAACCTTTGGAACTTGTGTCATTTTGACATTGCTCTCAAGTATATCAGACGTGAAAAAATATACAGGAACAATTCAGTGAATGCATAACATTTGGAAAAATTAAGTAAATATATAATGGTGATGGGGTGTGTGTCCTACGTTTCCAGAAGTTTTCTCAGCTCCCTAATTTGTGCTATTCATAAATATCAGAGAAAGCGGCAGAAATGGCTGAATACAAGTAGTTTGCTTCCTCCAAATTTAGATTTGGTCTATTCCTGAATACGTTGAAATAACACTACCTTTCAGTCCACTACTTCAAATGAATCAAAATATTCGCTCCTTTTTCCCATCCCCATCCCTACCTCCACCCCCACCACCCTCTAATAAAAGGATTTGAAGAATGTGGGAATGTTGAAAGCTTTCAGCAAAGAAAGATATAGAGATAGGCGCGGTAACTAATAATCCAGAAAACTTTAAACATCAACAGCTACTTAAAGAACATCCAGAATAGGAGAATAAAGAAGTGAGAACAGAAGTACCCCATGGCACACACTTGAGCTTGTTCCTTGATTCAATAAGATCTGCTGATCCCTCATGTAAATTCCTCTTTGTTGCTGATTATCACTTCTGCTGGTTTTTCCTGAGAATGTGAAGATCTGTCAATTAGTAAGGGGTGTGAATGCTCGGATAGTGTGGGGCAGAAATCCAAAAATGGACACTCTCTCCACCTTGGTCATAAATGGAAGCTCCTTGTCCTGAGAGTACGATACTTTGTTCTTGACTCGCTAACTGGAGGAAGTGATCTCTCAGCACTGACCCTGTCACATCCCTCACCCTCCGAATGGTAGAGATGATCATGAGTGGATCTATCTGAGTTGGTCTTGAAGGGGGCCAGCATGAACGTGATGGAATGAATGGCCTCCTGTGCTATAAACATTCTAGGATTCTATAATCACCTGTCATTCTGCTCTTCAGCAGGTAGGGGTTTAATGTCTTTTCTCACAGAGTGGGGCATGGGGGACATGGGATCACTAGAAAGGCATCTTTGGGATTGTTACAAAGAAGAAAGTCACACATTTGGTCATAGAGCATGGAAACAGACCCTTCGGTCCAACTAGTCCATGCCAACCAAGGCTCCCAAACTAAACTAGTCCCATGTGACTGCATTTGGTACATATCCCTCTAAACCTTTCTTATTCATGCACCCGTCCAAAAGACTTTTAAGCGTTGTAACTGTACCTGCATCCACCACTTCCTCTAGCAGTTTATTTCATACAAGCACCATCCTCTGTGTGAAAACGTTGCCTCTCCGATCCCTTTTAAATCTTTCTCCAAACACCCAGGGAATAACAAAGATGGAATCATTTAAGAACTGTCTGAATGTTACAGTGAAAGGAGAGGGGTAAAATGCCTTGGGAAGTTTGAGTGGTTGAGCTGAGATGGACCATCTGGAATCTCTCAGTCTCAACAATTAGAAAATGGAAATCATGCTTGAAGAAAGCCTCTTGACATTGATCAGTTAAGGTCAATAGAGCAGCCTTTGAACATCTGCTATAAACAATAAGAAAAGGACA